TTGTCCTCTCCCTCCCTCTAGTCTTCTGGGACACGTGACAGGTCCCAGAAGACTACGGGACCATTCACAAAGCCCAGCGTTGCTTGTGCATGGACTGTGGGCACCTGGCTGTGAAGCCGCAAGCTGTCACAGCCTGCTGCCCACACTGAAGATGCCGGCGCCAGGGAGAAAAGACAGCCGGTGAAACCAGCCATGGTGAGAACATCACTGGATCCTGGATCAGGTAAGTGTCTGTATTTTAAAAGTCAGCAGCTACAGTTTTTGTAGCTGCTGACTTTTATTTTTTTTTTATGCAACTGGAACTCTGCTATAAAATTCAACTCTTTCACTACATATGCATTTCTGTATGTTAAAGTGTAGGTTTTTTGTCTATATACTGTATGATACGGCACTGCGTTGCTTTAACTGACAATTGAGCGGTCATGCAGCACTGCACCCAAATGAAATTTGTGTTGTTTTTTTTTTCCCACAAATGGAGCTTTATTTCGGTGGTATTTGATCGCCTCTGTGGTTTTTATTTTTTGTGCTATAAACAAAAAAATTCCACAATTTTGAAAAAAAAAAAACCAATATTTTTGACTTTTTGCTATAAATTATATCCAGTAAAAAAATAGTAATGGTGGTGATCAGTGACTTATAGTGGCATTCTGACACTGGGGGGAACTGACTAACTGCCACTGACATCTCCAATGACACTAATACAGTGATCAGTGCTAATAAAAAGCACTGACACTGTACTAATGAACTGGGCAAGAAGGGGTTAACATCTGGAGCCATCAAAGGGTTAACTGTGTGCTGTGTGCTGTTTTACTGTGTTGTCTGTGTGTGCTTTACTATATAAGCATGCTGCTTTGTATTGCTCTGTTATGCTGCTATGCATGCTGGTGCTGACAGGGGAAAGATTTGTATTGTTTACATACAGACCTCTCCTCAGTCAGTGTTCCTTGGCAATTGCCGGGTGCTGGAGGGGAATCTCCGGCCAGGACCCGATGATCGCCAGCTGTAGCCACCAATGGCGGTGCATATGCCCCCTACCCGGAAATACAAAATCATGTGTATATATATATATGTGATTTTGCACAGCCCTGACACCCTGTAGCAGTAGTTCTGTTATAGGGCAGTCAGGAAGCGGTTAACTGAGCCTAGTTTAAAAAAGAACTTAAAATATCTGAGGACTACTTGGCAACCAGAGACTAAAGAACAAAATTTAGTCAGGAGTATGTAATATTAGGCATATAGAGTATCAGGAGTATGTAGTTTACTGAGCGCAAGGACCAGCATTAAGTAATATGCAACACAGTGTTTACAGTGCAGAGGTCAGGAGTATATAACGTAGAGAGTGCATAAAGCAGGCATATGTAATGTACTGCCATGAGTAAAGGGTGCAGAGGTAGGTGTATGCATCGTAAATTCCAGTGTATAGGGTACAATGGTAAGGAGTATGTAATGTACATACCAGTGGTCAGAGTATGGTGGTCAGGGGTATGTAACATAGAGCACAGTGTACAGAGTGGTTATCAGGAGTATTTAATGCACTGTATACAGTACTCTACATATACCTGAGTGCTGCACTCTATATTCTTAGTATTCCATACTAAGAACTTATCAGATCCTTGCTAGGGGGTTACCATAATTAAGTCCAGCCCTATAGTTCTTATAAACCCTCTCAATAGCCAGATAGACTTGCAGCATCTCCAGGTCAGTGCAAGGATATTACAACGCTTAAAAAACAAAATGAAAGGGGGAATCTTGTGCAGTAAAATAACTTTAATTGAGGTTAAACCACATTATGCAGTTTCATTTACATGTGAGCACTTTTTTACACCGTCATACCAGGAGGAGATTACTACCGTAGGAGCCAGTGGTGTAGTGTGATGTTGGCACAGTGCTCCTCTTCCTCTACCTCCAGATTCCTGCCAGAAAAGGCAAGATGGCACACACCTACAAATGTCAAATACTCTATGCTGGAGCTTTCCACTGACAAAGGCTAGGGTCTGGCTAGTCCATGTAAATGCACACTTCATTTCGGGCAGCACACAGTGTTTACTACTGTAACAGGGGGTGATCTGGACATCGATAATCCTGATAGTCATCCTTGCATAAGAGCAATGTTATTAATGCGTTTATTGATACAACTTTTTCATTGACAGAGCCTCTCTAATGTACTGTGAATACTTTCATTTTTAAATGTTGTGCCATAAAACTGTCTCTCTTTTCTTTTCATTATCTAAACTTGCTTTGTCTGGCAGCAATTCCAGCCCCATATGTGAGATATCTCTGATGGAAGAAGGCCCCTGGACCTCTCTTGGTCCAGGTCAGCCCCAAATCCCATGACTCCTCATTCCCATTCTCCACAGTTCTTCCACTAGGAACAACATTAGATGGCCATTGCACACAGGCTACAGGGGATCCACAGGGTGTTTCATCAGACCACAGCCTTCTTGAGAATGACCCATAATGGGTGAATGCTGAGCAAACTAGGGTTAATGATTCATACTCTGCATGGTCTAGGGTTGTCAGTGGTGTACCCCAAGGTTCAGTGTTGGGACCTTTACTTTTTAATATATTTGTAAATGATATAGGGTCTGGGATTGAAAATCCCATTTCAGTCTTTGCAGATGACACCAAGCTGTGCAGTGGAATAACGTCCTTACAGGATGTCTTCAACTTACAGGCCAACCTCAATGCTCTGTTTAATTGGGCAACTACATGGCAAATGAGGTTTAATGTTGATAAATGTAAGGTTATGTACTTGGGCGCTAAGAATATGCATGCATCATACATACTAGGGGGGGTACAACTGGGGGAATCAATGGTGGAGAAGGATCTGGGAGTTCTGGTAGATCACAAGCTTAATAATGCATGCAATGCCAAGCTGCGGTTTCTAAAGCGAGTAAAATCCTCTCTTGTATTAAAAGAGGTATAGATTACAGAGAGAGAGAGATATCATATTACCCCTGTACAAATCATTAGTAAGACCTCATCTGGAATATGCAGTTCAGTTTTGGGCACCAATTCACAAAAAGAATATTGGGGAACTGGAGAAAGTACAGAGAAGGGCAAGCAAACTGATAAGAGGCATGGAGGAGCTCAGCTATGAGGAAAGATTAGAGGAACTGAATTTATTCTCTCTTGAGAAGAGGAGATTAAGGGGGGATATGATCAACATGTATAAATACATCAGTGGTTCATATAGTGAACTCGGTGTAGAGCTATTTACCCTGAGGTCATCACAGAGGAGAAGGGGGCACTCTTTACGTCTGGAGGAAAAGAAATTTAATCTCCAAACACGGAAAGGTTTCTTCACAGTGAGAGCTGTGAAAATGTGGAATAGACTCCCTCAAGAGTTGGTTCTGGCCAGTTCAGTGGATTGCTTTAAAAAAGGCCTGGATTCTTTCTTAGATACAGAGAATATATAACTGCATACTAACATTTATAGTTAAAGTTTATCTAGGCAATATCCGATTGCCTCTCGGGGATCAGGAAGGAATTTTTTTCCCCTGCAGGAGCAAATTGGATCATGCTTTACTGGGGGTTTTTTGCCTTCCTCTGGATCAACTGTGGGTATAGGATTATAACTTTTTTTTTAATGGTTGAACTGGATGGACTTTTATCTTTTTTCAGCCAGAATAACTATGTATGTAACTATCCATTAAATCATTGATAAATGCACTGGCCATAGATTAATCGAAACTCATGTGCTTAAGAAAGGACCGGCCAAACTTCGATCCATCTATGTCCATTCCCTTTCAAGAGGCGTCAACCTAGTGATTATCTCCTCTCAAACTGGACTGTTGGAAAATTTGCTTTCGATCAGCACATGCAGCCATTCGGTTGCAGCACTGATCAATGTGTTCTGGCAGTGGAGAAGTCCCGCTGTCAGAATACAGTAATACAAAAGGGAGGAATCCTACATCCACCTCAAATGTTTGGATGTGGTAATCCATTGTTTTGTTTTGTTTTTTTGGCTGGCTGTTTGAAAAATAATGAATCATCTATGGACAGCTTTAGTCTTTAAATGTTTTGGTTTGGTTTGTCTCCCTTATCCATCTTTCCTGGACACATCCCTACAAGTACCTTACAACAAACATTGTTGATAAGCACACATTTTCATAATGTGCATGTGCAGTTATGAGCAAAACTTTGATAATTATGGTTGACCCACAACAAATTCAGGATGCTTACTAACCATTTCCCACCCATCCACTGCATAAAATAAATGGCCGGGTGGGACAAGCGCCATTCAGAGTGGATGTAAACGTATGTCCCTCAGAGCGTGGCCGCTCATTGTGCCTCATAGAATATATCTTGGGGTGTTTACTTTCCAAAATGGGGTCATTTATGGGCGTTTCTACTGTCCTGGTACTCCAGGGCCTTCAAATGTGTGATAGGTAGTCAGGAAATTAGATGCATAATTTATATCCCTAGAACACCTGAAGGTGCTCCTTGGATGTTGCGCCACTCTACATGGCCAGGCTGTGAAAAAGTCTCACACATGTGGTATTGTCATACTCAGGAGGAGTAGCAGAATGTATTTTGGGGTGTAATTATTGCTATGTCCATGCTGTGTGTTAGAAATCTCTTAGAAATTGACAACTTTGTATAAAAAAAAAATATTTTTCATTTTCTTTCCACATTTTCCAGAAATGTGTGGAATAAAAATGACATGTTCAAAAGACTAATTATGCCTCATAGAATATACATTGGGGTGTTTGCTTTCCAACATGTGGTCATTTTGTGGGTGTTTTCTTTATCCTGATGCTCCTGGGCCTTAAAAAATGTGATAGGTAGTTAGGAATTTAGATGCGTAATTTATGAAGGTGAAGGTACTACTTTCATGTTGGGCCTCTGTATGTGGCCAGGTTGTGGAAAAGTCATACTCAGGAGGAGTAGCAAAATGTATTTTGAGGTGTAATTGCAAGTATGCCTATGCCATGTGAGAAATACCGTATTTTTCGCTCCATAAGACGCACTTTTTTCCCCCAAAAAAAGGGGGGAAAATGTCAGTGCGTCTTATGGAGCGAATATGGAGCGGCCGGGTCCGGTATTTCCACCGCCGCCATGTCAGAATACCAGGCCGGCCGCTCAGCTCTGCAGCGGGACCTTATGGAGATGACTGCTGACCTTTGGGGAGGTGGGGAGCGGGTACCTGAATTTGACAGGTACCCGCTCTTACTTCCGCGGAGTTGTTCTTTGACCTTACCTGTTCCTCTATTCAGCGGCGCGCTGTCTTCCCGGCTTCTGTAGTGTGGGCGCTGAGCTTGACAGCCGGGTGCCAAGTGCGCATGCGCAAGAAGCGGTGCTTTTTGTGAATGGTAAGGCGGTACCTGGGACACATGACAGATCCCAGAAGCCGCCGGACCAATCACAAAGCACAAGTGCTTCTCGCTCATGCGCACTGGGCACCCGGCTGTCATGCCGAGCGCTCACACTACAGAAGCCGGGAAGACAGCGCGCGCGGCTGGATAGAGGAACAGGTAAGGTCAAAGAACAACTTCGCGGAAGTAAGAGCGGGTACCTGTCAAATTCAGGTACCCGCTCCCCCCTCCCCAAAGGTCAGCAGTCATCTCCTGTACTGTCCGCAGTCTCTGGTCATCCCTGTGCTGTCCGCAGTCTCTGTTCATCCCTGTGCTGTCCGCAGTCTCTGGTCATCTCCTGTACTGTCCGCAGTCTCTGGTCATCCCTGTGCTGTCCGCAGTCTCTGGTCATCCCTGTACTGTCTGCAGTCTCTGCTCATCCCTGTGCTGTCCACAGTCTCTGGTCATCCCCTGTACTGTGTCTGCAGTCCATTAGTTCAGAATTTTTTTTTGCTGTTTTCTGCCTCTAAAACCTAGGTGCGTCTTATGGTCAGGTGCGTCTTATGGAGCAAAAAATATGGTAACTTGTTAATATAACAATTTTGTGAAAAAAATAAATTTTAATTTCATGATTTTCCAAGGTATTGTGGGATAGAAATATAGCAGTATAAATTTTGGTCAAAATTTATGAGGAAAAATTACTTATTTGCAAACATTTTATGACAGAAACTAAGAAAAATGCAGGGGGGGGGGGGGGTCAACATTTTTGTTCTTTTTTAGTTCAGTTAACAAAACAAAAAAAACCCAGTGGTGATTAAATACCACCAAAAGAAAGCTCTATTTGTGTGAAAAAAAATAACAATTTCATTTGGGGACAGTGTTGAATCACCGTGCAATTGTCATTCAGAGTGTAACAGAACTGAAAGCTGAATTTGGCCTGGGCAGGAAGGGGTGTAAAGTGTCCAGTATTGAGGTGGTTATTATGTATGGCCTTATCCTTTATTCCTATAAAGTTTTTCCTCTAGACAAAAAAACAAGACATCGGACAGAGTACAAGTGCAGCGTGATCACACTGGGATGATGTATAAGTAGCTATTGCAGTCATATGAATTCCATAAAGGGCAGGCAAGCAGTCAGGTACACTAAAAAAAACAGAGCTTCTAAGCTGCTGTAGATGGGCAGTCAATCCCCCCCCCCCCCTCCGACTCATCTGCCCACTCTCTCCACCAGTCAGAAGCGCAGAGTTTAACCACATGAGAGGACTATGTGTGTGCACTCTCTTATGCTTCTCCCATAGCAATAGCAATGGACCAATCAGCAGTAAGGAGGAGATAACCAGATGCTTACAGTAAAAGGAATCTCATCAGAGTGTGACAGGAAAGTGATGTGACAGGAGTGTGGCAGGATTGTGTCAAGGAAAGTCCGCCTGGTCAGCGGAGCCCACAGCTGCATGAGGGCAGCCAGAGGGTAGAGAACATGACCTGAGTATTGAGAGAGCATGAGCATCTTCAGTCCCTTTCTGTGTCTCAAAAAAGAGACATTAGGGGTAGCGATCACTGTTCATTCATCAGCAATGAGTTCAGGAACAAGGGGAGCAGAAGTAAGGGTGCAGGATGCAAGGCTAGAGCAGGATAAACAGGCATGAAGATTTGGCAGCAAGCAAGGCGATCATACACTGACACAAGGAATATTAGCAGAGGTGGGACTCACAGTAAGTACCCTGCCAGCAGCTAGGACCACGTGTAACTGATTGCAGGAACCTGCAGGCTGCTGGGAGACACACTCTGGTGGTCACTGGAACTGCAGCTATCAGCCCAGAGAACCACAGTGCCATCAGCAGGTGAACGCGGTCCTAACAATTCCCCCGCCTTAAGGAGTGGCCTCTGGACGCTCCACCATGTTACACCGCCGGGGTCTTGAAGCTGAGTGGGCACCCCACCACCGGGGTCAGCAGGTTGACTGAGTACCCCTCTGCCAGGATCCAAAAACCTGCTGGTCAGATCCCCAAGGAGGTGCAACACTTGAAGCTGAACTCAGTCCCAACATTAGGGGTCTGTTTAGACCTTTGATGTCTCTCTAAAGCTTCCGTCCCAACTGACATGAATAGGATTGCCTGCCCAGGAATGCAGAAAACACCTGTGCATCCACATGGGTGTAAACACAGCCCTCCATATGGCCGTCCATGGTAGTATGCTTTAGTACACCCCATGTGAACTAGGCCTCAGTAGGAATTTGGCAATAATTTTGTAAGATATACTGGGTTTATGTGTGCAAATAAGAATTTTAGAGTTTTTTTGTGAAAAAGAGCAATGTGATGAACACTTGCACAATTATCACAGAGCCTTAAAAATCAGTAGCACCCGGGGAGGACTGACCATTTGGAAACTCGGGCACTGCCCGAGGGCCCAAGGTCAGTAGGGGACCCCATGAGATGCCCCTGGTATCTTTCTCATAGGCTTTTTTGAGTTTGGGCAAGGACACAGGGGGCCCCATGATCCCCTATTGCCCGGGGGCCCCATGAGTTGTCAGTCCGCCACTGGTAGCACCATCTTTTTATTATACTGGTTATGTGCTTTCAGAAAATATATGGTTTGGTGGGTCTTTTATGAACTCTGAAAGCTGGAAGTGAAAAATGAAAACCTCCAGATATTTAGAGAAACTTGGTTATTTACAATTTTGCATACATTCGATTTTCACCATTCTGCAAAAAAGGCGCAATTTAAAATTTACAAATATATGTTACTTATTAACTCAGTACAGGTTAAGCTTTTATATGTAGTAGGAATTTAGCAGGATTTTTGTAAAATTTGCTCTTTGCATCTACTAATAATGATTTTAGTGTACTTTTTGCGAAAATATTGTTTTGATAAACATTTGAGCAAGTATCATAGCAATAATAGACAGTAGCACCTTTTTTTTATTCTACTTGTCATGTGCTTTCAGAAAATGTATGGTTTGGGGGGTCTTTTACAAACTCTGAGAGCTGTAAGTGAAAAATAAAAAAAAGCAATGGAAAAATTGCAAAAATGGTCCACGCACCTGAGTTTAAAAGTAGAGCGCAGGCCCTAGCAGCAAAAAGATTAAGAGCATATACCATTAAAACGGGTGTGTGCCTATTTACTGGTAGTAATCCACAGATAGGTTAAAGGTATTTTACACTCGTATTTATCAGTAAATAAGATAAGTGCAGCGCTTATTAAAGTCCTGGTAAATGTATAGTAAAAAAGTTCATATATAGGTTAATACTCCACAGTAAAAAGAGCTCAAAGGTGATTATAATATTCCCAAAGTCGTTGTTTTCTTAAACTCAGTGAGAGGGAAGATATGTATAAAATGCGCACTGACCGGACGCGCAAAAATTATGCGCAATATGTCAGCAAAATGGAGGTCTGCCAGGGGGTTCCTTTCAGGATACAAATGGAATCAGCCCAGGATGGATGGACATCATCTGAATATATATTCAAACTGGAGGTCCACTTTAAGTATTCATTCCTGCCTACTGTTTGTGATATAGCATCTTGGCACATGTCTGGCACACATCATTTACATGTATGAGAATATCTTATTACTGCTTTTTAACATCCTTCATTAAATGTTTTTGAAAATACTACACTATGGGTATTTCCATCTTTTGCTCTGCACTGAGCATTTAATCCCCCAGAGCTCCCCCTGGTGACTATCCCACTGTACTGAAGAGGCTGCATCTGTGTCCTTAAAGTGGACCTCTGGTTTTAATATATATCCAGATGATGTCCATCCATCCCAGGCTGATTCCATTTGTATCCTGAAAGGGTCCCCCTGGCAGACCTCCATTTTGCTGACATATTGCGCATAATTTTTGCGCGCCCGGTGAGTGCGCATTTTATACATATCCTGCCTCTCACCGAGTGTAAGAAAGTGACGACTTTGGGAATATTATAATCACCTTTGAGCTCTTTTTACTGTTGACTATTAACCTATAAATGAACTTTTTACTATACATTTACCAGGACTTTATTAAATGCTGCACTTATCTTATTTATATGTCTCTTGAAATGTTTATGGTTTCCCTTACTGTGCACAGCTGCTTTTATGAGTTTATATTTTAGCGCTCGCTGAGTTTTCTTTTTCCTTTGTATTTATCAGTGCTTGCAATGAACCTTAGTAGGGATGCACCGATACCAGTGCCAGTACCAAGTATTTTCACTCGTACTCATAAAAATGCTCCTGATACCAAAAACTGATACTTTCCGGTGCAATTTGTATCAATACAAATTTCACCGCAAAGGTTAGCATGCTATTTGAACAGGAATGTGATTCCTGTCCAAATCGCATGCGGTTTCCCCTCTGCTCCTGTGTGAACCCAGGCTTATCCTGACTTCACACAAGAACAGTGTGGGAAACTTCCCTGCAGGCATCCCACTCTGAGCAGAGAGTGGGCGTGTGGGGATATATACTATGGAGGCGGATGCTTCTTATTCTCAGCAGTAGGAGAGGAGAGAAAACGGGCGGGTTCAAATCCCCCCCGCTTGTTCTTCTCTCCTTGCAGGGATTACAGTATGGGCTAGAGGGCTTTTGCTTGCTCAGCACCGTCACATGAAGGGTGCTAACCATGTCCATCTAGCGCTGCAAGGAGAGGAGAAAAAGCCACAGGGATTTCAAATCCCCAGACAAATGAAGCTGCTTTCTCTCCTCTCCTTGCAGGGGTGACAGTGCAGGCTAGACGGCATCTGATTGGTCAGCACCATCCATGTGACGGCGCTGACCAATCGAAAGCCATCTAGCCTGAGCTGTCATCCCTGCAAGGAGAGGAGAGAAGTGAATTTCAAATCTCTCCTCACCTACCACTGAGAATATGAAGCATCTGCCACCATAGTATACTATACTATAGTATGCCATGACAGCCTGGGTTCACAAAGGAGCAGTGGCAAAACTGCTTTCAATTTGGACAGGAATTGCATTCCTGTTCAAATTGCATGCTATTCTTTGCGGTGAAAATTGCGTCCATACATTTTGTATAGATGCAAATAGCATCGCAAAGTATCTGTACACTGTATCAGAGAGTATTTGACCAAAAGTATCGGTACTGGTCCTCACCGATAAAAAAAAAAAGGGAATCGGTGCATCCCTAATTTTTAGTCAACCAGGTGTGTCAGAGGGGCCAAGGATGTTTCTGTAGTTGAGAAACATAAAAGAGAACCCATAGTCACCG